CAAGAAGGGGCCTTGCCATGATGTACATGTTCTGGGCTAAGGCCCCAGCAAGCCTAGTGCCCGCCCTAAGTGAAGGCGGGCCAGCAAATCAACAAAAGCCCTCTGTGCAAACATTTCCCGAAGTGGGGTCTATACAGTTGCAGCATGTCCACGCTATAGAAATCATTCCAGGGAGTAAGACCCCAAAGGGAAGGATCTATAGGATGGTTCCGCCGAGTTAGATGAACTTCGGCGACAGCTTAAGGAGTTGACAGAGAAGGGATGGATTCGGCCTAGTACTTCCCCTTACGGATCACCCGTTCTATTCGTACCGAAGAAGGGGGGTACGTTGAGGATGTGCATTGACTATAGAGGCCTCAATGCCATCACAGTGAAGAACGCAGAGCCTCTGCCTCGCATAGACGACCTATTGGATAGGGTACAGGGATGCAAGTACTATAGTAAGATAGACTTGAAATCCGGATATCGTCAGATCGCAACAAGACCTGAGGACCAACACAAGACAGCCTTTCGGACCAGATACAGTCTGTATGAGTTTGTAGTGATGCCCTTTGGTCTTTGCAATGCGCCAGGTACATTCCAACACGCTATGAATCGGATCTTCCATGACCATTTAGATAAGTTTGTCGTGGTATACCTTGACGACATTCTAATCTTTAGCACGTCTGCCGAGGAGCATGCAAAGCACGTTGAGACTGTACTCTCACTCCTGCGACGGCACAAGTATAAGGTCAACTTAGAGAAGTGTGAGTTCGGTCGCACTAAGATACTATACTTGAGTCATGAAGTATCCGCGGAAGGGATTAGGCCGGAGGATGCGAAGGTGGCTAGTACTCGAGACTGGCCACGACCTCAGACTGTCATTGAGGTCAGATCTTTCTTAGGGATGTGCGGCTACTATAGGAACTTCGTAAAGAACTATTCTACAGTCGCCTCTCCTTTGACTGATCTAACTCGACTTGACACGCCGTGGGACTGGAGTGATGAGTGCGAGGGTGTTTTCAAGAGATTGAAGCATGCACTCCTGAATCATGAGGTTCTCATGGTTCCCGATCCTCAGAAGCCATTCATAGTGACCACTGACGCAAGTCACTACGGCATTGGCGCAGTGCTGGCTCAACAGGATGGGAAAAAGTTGAGACCGATTGAGTATATGAGCAAGAAGATGCCATCAAAGAAGTTGGCAAAGTCCACCTATGAAAGGGAACTCTATGCTCTATATAAAGTACTTGTCCATGGGAGACACTTCCTATTGGGAAGGTTCTTCTACTTGAGGACTGATCATCAGACCCTCAAATGGATCAAGACTCAACCGGCTCTTTCTGATGCACTCAAGCGATGGATTGAGGTCATAGACCAGTATGACTTCAAGCTTGAGTATCTGAAGGGAGAGTATAATAAGGTTGCTGATGCGCTATCACGTAGAGCAGACTACCTAGGTGCGCTAGTTTCTGACTTTGGCGTATCTGATGAAGTAACTCAATCAATGGTGGGAGCCTATCAGGAAGACCCTGTCACGATGGACATCATTCGCAAACTTCAGGCAAAAGACAAGGCCACGGAAAGCGAGTTTGTGATGGTGGACATGCTCCTCTATCTTGATAAGGCCGGAATAAAAAGATTAGTAGTTCCATGTAGTGAACCTTTGCGTAGTTTGTTCTTAGGAGAATGCCATGACGCAACGGGACACTTTGGCTACAAGAAGACGAGTGCTAACCTAGTACAGCGATTTTGGTGGCCAGGAATGTTAGATGACGCAAAGAAGTAAGTAGAGACCTGTCAGGTCTGTCAGCGGGACAAGCCGCGAACTCAAGCACCGCTTGGGTTGTTGAAGCCTTTGCCCATTCCTGCTGGTCCAGGACAGAGTGTTTCCATGGATTTCATGGACACCTTGGTGACTAGTAAGAGTGGCAAGAGGCATATCTTCGTCATCATTGATCGATTCACCAAGTACGCTAGACTAGTGGCTATGCCAGAGACCGCAAGAACTGACTATGTCATCGAGTTGTTCAAAGACAACTGGGTGTGTGACTTTGGTTTACCAAAGTCAATCGTTAGTGACCGAGATGTCCGATTCACAAGTGAGTTGTGGAAGAAGACTGCAGAACAGATGGGCAGTCAACTTCAAATGACTTCAGGGAATCATCCCGAAGCCAACGGACAAGCCAAGCAAATGAACAGAGTTGTACAGCACTTGCTGAGGCATTACATCAAGCCCAACCAGGATGATTGGGATGAGCAGTTGCCTCATCGCCAGCCTGTACAACAATGTTGTCCACAGCAGTACCGGCGTTAGTCCCAATCAACTTCACTTGGGATGGAAGCCTAGATCAGCATTAGACTTCCTCCTACCTGAAAACCGACCCGCTGCAACTCTAGGCACACTTGAATATGGTGTGCAGTATGAGAAGTTGCTGCAAGAAGCTGTCGAGCACATGAAGAAAGCTCAGCAAGCCATGATTGATTCTGAGAATCAACATCGTAGACAGTCCATATTTCAGGTAGGGGAACGTGTCTGGGTCAAGGCCAGTGAGTTAGGACAGGAGTTCGGAATATCTCGCAAACTAATGCCTCAGTACTTTGGTCCCTGGGAAGTCCTGGATATAGTGGGAGATGAGATGGATGGCCCCACATATGTCATTCGTGTCCCTGGACACCTACGCACTCACCCAGTCTTTCATGCCTCAAAGCTTGCACCTTTTGCTGAGACAGATCAATTCCCTTCCAGGAGATCGATGCTGCCCCCAACCATGGATGGTCAAGTGGACATCGATCACAGGGATATGCCTGTTCCAAAGCCGCTGGGTCGAGGAAGACCTCCTAAACCCAAGAGAGAGTATCGCGTCAGATTCAGGCATCATACGGATCCAAAAGAAGATAGGTGGTTTACCAGAGAGGAACTGATTGAGACAGCTCCTCAGGTGGTGGCAGAATACGAGAGACTGCTGAAACGGAAGGCACCTGCGAAGTAAGCATCTCAGCGGACTTTCGAAGCTAAGGGGGATGGAATGTGAGTATTGAGCCCTCAAGAAGGGGCCTTGCCATGATGTACATGTTCTGGGCTAAGGCCCCAGCAAGCCTAGTGCCCGCCCTAAGTGAAGGCGGGCCAGC